AACCCTCGGCGGGAGCGCCACCACACTCCCAAGCGCTGCACTCTACCGAGTGCGCCACTGGGCCGGCCCCTGAAAGATTTTGTTATTGAGAGCATATCAGACAAAGGAAACAACATGTATAAAGGCACCGAGGCTTGAGAAGTTGTGGTATATTGGGGAACTTACAAGTTATTGCTGTACTGTAAAGTATGAGGAGAGGGGAGATGGGGCTGGACCAGTAGTCAGGGACCAGAACACACTGTCCTTGTCTGCCAGGCCAAGAAGTTTAGATTTTGTCCCTTAGGCAGTGAAGCATCACTGAAGAATTTATAGTGCTTTCCTCACTTCTGGACACTCTAAAAATGAAGAAAATTAGGAAAGCAAGATGACTAAGTAAATGATGATATTTGCCTAAAACTTCATAATTTGCAAGTCATTTTTCTACTTAAATCTTCACAGCAGTCCTGCAAAGTATAATTATTATCCTTAAATTATAAATGAGGAAATTAGATCTAAGAAAGGTTTATTTTTTTTCATTCTCTCATTCATTCAACAAATATTCAGGCACTGCTCTAGGCACTGGAGATATAGTGAAAAACAAAGTAAAGTCACTTTCCTCATGGAGCTAAAAAGAAATGGAGCTAGATTTGAATACAGATAATCTGAATCAAAATCACAGTCTCTTTCTACTGTACTACACAGTCTCAAGACCGATAGCATCAGTGAATGATAAAAACATCACTGAATTCAACTTTGCTTGTAGTTCCCACAATTAGCCTTCTTTCCCCCTAACTGCCCAACCTGCTAAACTGTGATGTGGAAGAGGGAGCTGATAAATGTAGGTCTCACCCTTTGGGAACCCTGGTTATATTCTTTCCTTTTTTACTTGTCTCTCCTAGAATTTACTGCTATATTCTTATTTTAATGTGTGACTAACAAGTAACCATAAAACTTGATTTTTATAATAGAAAGATATAATATGTGGAATTTAAAAATTTAAATTGGATGTCACAGAAATGTTTCTAGCAATTTAGAAATGGTTAATAATAGCTGACTGTTTATCATATCTGTAGCAGTACCTTGATGATAACACTGTGGAAGCTATGGCCTTTCGAAAGAGTGCAAGAGAATTATTGCAACTAGCAGCCAAAACATTAAAAAAGTTGGGAGTACGATTCTGGCTGAGCAGTGGAACTTGTCTAGGTAAAATTCTTGTTGCTTTATATTTGTCTTTTTTTCATTTTGTCCTCTTTGGCTTTAGGGATGATTGCTTGAGATGACAAAACATCAGTGATAATTGAAGTGTTAAGTTTATAGACAATAAACATTAGTGCATGGAGCAATGACCTATTGATTTCTTTAAAGAAATTAATTTCAGAAATACAAGGACACTTTGAAAAGTTTGTGGAAAAATAGGAATAAAAGATAATACAGGGCCGGCCCCGTGGCTCATTTGGGAGAGTGCGGCACTCACAGGTTTGGATCCTATATAGGGATGGCTGGTGTGTTCACTGGCTGAGCGTGGTGCAGACGTCTCCGAGCCAAGGGTTGCAATCCCCTTACTGGTCAAGGAAAAGAAAAAAAAAAAAAAGATAATACAAATCTTTCTGTGAAGTTTTTGAAGGCCCTTCATATAAAATAGAATGTTAGGAAGGCCATGTTTGTGCTTACCAAAAATTATAAATATGTAAGATTTATAACAACATGTAGACTATAGTTGATTCTCAGGTAATCTTTAAATTAGCATTTTATTATTTCTATTCCAAAGATTGTCACTGCCATTTTAAGAAAACTCTTGTTCTATTTCTTTACTTACACACCATACAAATAGCTTGCATTGCACTAAAAGTTTCTAATGAGAGAAATATTGAAAGGAGTGTCATGAGATCCTCCACAAATCTTTTCTAGGTCATTAATAGTATCAATGGTTAGACATCACCATTCATCTGACATGGGGGAAATATGGACTTTTCTATAGACTTTAGGCAAATTGCTGTTAGAATCTGAAAAAGTTCTCCAGATCTCTGTCCACTGTCTATTAGATCAAACTTTTTGGAAGTTATAATTCTTTAGAATCTCAAATTTTGTTTTGTCTTTATTTGTTCCCTCTTGATTATAAATGTAGTTAATTATAACTGTATTTGTATAAAAGTTAATTCAGCTCCTGCTTTTATAGGGTTACCATATAATTTATTGTCCAAGAGACTTTTGAGAGTAAAAGGAAGGGCCATTAATAGTTATGCTGGTACAATAGGTGTAAACTGGAATATATGGTTATCTTATCTATTAAGCTTTGTGGAAAATTCACATGGTTCTTCTTGTCAAGGAGCTTACCACTAGAGTGAGCCAAAGAAAGAGCACATCTCACACATTTATGTGGTATTTGCTTTAAGGTTTAACTTTTTAGAAGCAAGGCTA